GAGCTGTGGTGCTGGAGAAGAGTATTGAATGTAGCATGGACTGCCAGGAAAACAAACAGATTCATCTTGGAGAGGATTAAACCAAGCAACTCCTTGGAGGCAAGGATTCTGGGGCTTTGTCTGACATACTTTGGGCATGTTGTTAGGAGGGATGGGTCCTTGGAGAGGGACATCATGCTTGGAGGGTGGAGGGACGGTGCAGGAAGGGAAGACCCTCTATGAGATGGATTGATTTAGTGACTGGGATAATTGGGATGGGAGTGTCAGAGGCAGTGCGATTGGCACAGGACAGAGCAGGGTTTAGGGCTGTTGAGCATAGGGTAGCTATGAGTCGCAAAGGACTCGACGGCACATAACAACAGTGTTCTGGGTGAGAGGCTTGGGAGGGGAGAAATGTGCAACAATGAATGAATGGAAATCCAAAGCCTCTGTAAATTTTTACTGAAACTAATAATAAATTTAAACTAAAAAAATTTTAAAAACTGTGGATGCTGAGACTTCATCGCACACGCTCTGGGCATGTTATTAGGTGGAGCTGGTTCTTGGCACATAGCATCATGCTTGGAAGGCTGGAGGGCCAGCACAGGAGAGGAGGCGCCCAACCAGCTGGGTCACCACGGTGACTGCAGTGATAGCAGAGACTGTGGGATGGCCCAGGTTACGGCAAGGGCTTGATCTGCTGTACACCGAGATGCTCTGAACTGGAGCAGATGTGACGCCTAGCAACGACAACCTGCTCTAAGTCATATTTTGATTGTTTTGAAATTGTTTTCATTTTCTTTCCGTTTCAGTTTGAACTTGAATATGGGCAGTCAGTGTTCTGTTCCACCCTTGGCCTCTGCCCTTCTCCTGATTAATAATGAATTTCTCCATTGTCTCTTTCCACAGATGTGACCTCTGTGTGCTCCATCTGACAAGGTCCATGTATATAATCACTATTTTTCTTTTCTTTTTTTAAATTAATTTTCATGAAAGTTTACGGAGACTTAGGGTTTTCAGTCATTCATTGTTGCACTTTTCTCCCTGCCCCCAATTCACTCTTCTCCTTGTAAAGAAAAACTCTTTCATTGTTATACAATCCCTTTCCCCAAGTCCACTATGCAGCCCTCACTCTAGACTTCTGTAATGGCAAGAATACCCATTCATATGTCCCTTTTAAATAGTACTTTCCCTCATCTGTTTCAATGCAGTATACATCATTCCTCCCTTTTCTGTCTCCCCTCAACCCTGATATCAGTCCTGTTTTACAACACTGGCCGTATGCAATATTTGTCCTTTTGTGACTGAGGTATTTCACCCAGCATAATGTCCTCCAGTATCATCATTTTGCATAATATTTCATGAGTTCTTTGTTTTTCAATGCAGTGTCATATTCCATTGTGTGAATATACCAGAGCTGCTCTATCCGTTCGTTTGTTGATGGTCACTTGGGTTCTTTCCAGCCCTTTGCTATTGTGAACAAAGCCACAGTAAACATGGGTGTGCATATATCTGCTTGGGTGACAGTTACGGTTTCTTTAGGGTAAATTCCCAGTAGTGGAATTGCTGGGTCAAATGATATTTCTATTTGCAACTTTTTGAGAAAGCGCCATACTGCCTTGCAGAGTGGTTGCCGCATGTTGCACTCCCACCAGCAGTGAATAAGGGTTCCAGTTTTTCCACAACCTCGCCAGCATTTGATGTTTGCTGTTCTGTTAAATTTTGCTATTCTGACTGGGGTGAGATGATATCTCATAGTTGTTTTGATAATCATCATTTATGATGTTCTTGGTGCTTCAAGTCTTCTTCATTTTCTATGGACAAGATTGTGTAATCTGCATAAAACAAATTGTTAATGGGTCTTGCTTTAATCCTGGTATCACTTTCTTCTTCATAAGAGTCCAGCTTCTTGAATAATTTTCTCAGCATTAGGTTTGTTCTGGAGAGGGTGAAGCCAGGCTGCTCCTTGGAGGCAAGGATTCTGAAACTCCATCTGACATTTGGGCATGTTACAAGGAGGGACAAGTCCTTGGAGAGGAGCATCATGCTTGGAATGGTGGAGGGCCAGAGAAAGAGAGGAAGACCATTGATGAGATGGATTGATTCAGTGACTGGGGTAATGAGGGTAGGTGTGTCAGAGACAGGAAAGTTGGCACAGGATGGAGCAGGTTTCAGGGCTGTTGTACATGGGGTTGCTCTGAATCGCAAGCGACTCAACAGCACATACTATCAAACAGATTGGATATGGAGAAAGGATGCAATGTGGACACACATTTTCTTTTTCCTTTTTTCTTAGGACAACTCCTCCTTAGTTTGTTGTTGTTAGGTGTCATTGAGTTGAGCATGACTCATCGAGAGCCTATGAACAACAATCTGAACCCTGTCCTATCCTGGGCCATCTTTAAACTTCCTGACACACTAGAGCTGCGTTAATCTTACCTGGTCAAGGATCTTCCTCTCCTTCACCGACCGTCCACCCAGCATCATGTCACTCTCCAAGGAACAGCCTCTCCTAGTAACATGCCTGAAGAAGCTTCATCATTCTTCCCTCCAAAAAGCGCTCTGGCTACATCCTCTCCAAGACATATTTATTGTTCTTTTGGCCATCCATGGGGTGGACATTTAGTACTCTTCTCCAACACCAGAGCTCAAAGGAATCAATTCATTGTCCTGCTTTCACATGTTTACCATGTGATTAGAAAGACCACTTAGTCTAGGGGCAGTTTTCTCACGAGCACCCTTGAGTGTCTTGGGATTCCCATTCTTCTCAATGTTAGATACAGTTTGTTATGATGCACACAGTCAAGTGTCTTTGCATAGTCAATAAAATACAAGTCAAAGAGTTTCTGGTATTCTCTGCTTTCAGCCAAGAATCCACAGGACATCAGCAAGGATATATCCCTTGTTCCAAGGCCTCTTCTGAACCCAGCTTGAATATCTAAATTTATGTTCTTTCTGTTCCAGCTGTTTTTTTATTAATCTTCAGCAAGATTTTACTAGCTTGTGATATTAGTGATATTGCTCTATAACTTCCACATTCTGTTCGATCTCCTTTATTTATTTATTTTTTTAAATTTTTTTAATTTTTTTTTATTGGGAAAAACATATTGGGGGTACAAGGAGGTGAGGGTTGGAGGCAGAAGGATGAGGATGGGCCAGGATGCAGTTGCAGAACTGCACAGTTTGGTCGGTGGGGGGAGCAGGTGAAGGAAATGATGAGGGTCCAGTGGGGACCAGATGCTACAGAGGAATGACAAGCATTTTCCAATAGCAATTAAACCAACTGTCTTATTGATTTGGAAATTGGATGCCGACTCTCTGGCTTCTTATTTATTTATTTTTTTAAATGGGAACAAATACTGATCCCTTCTAGTCAGTTGGCCCTGTTGCTGTCTTGCAGATTTCTTGGCAGAGTGAGCACATCTGTTGAAATATGTACAGTGACAGTGCTGCTGTTAGGTGACATCGAGTGAAGCATGACTCAGGGTGATCCTATCAACAGATCCGAAGCCTGTGGCTGAGATGGTGAGGATGGCACAGTGACAACAGGCATCCAATAATTGGGGAAGGCGTAAGTGGGAACAAGAGTTCTGCAGAAGACTTAGAGGATCAACTGGTGGCAAGAGTCATACTAGGAGCAAGCTGTAGACCTGGGAGTTGGGAGCTTCAGAGTGTGAACAGCGTAGCTAAGGCCTGGCTTCCCGGTCTACGAGTAACACCACCCCTGTTCCCTAGAGGGCGCTGTAAGACAGGAAGCGACTCGCCGGGTCCTGCGGGTCTCATTTTCGTCAGGCGCGCCGCGGACAGCTTTGTCGCCATCGGGGCTCAAGATGGCGGTGTTGCGGCCGCGGAGGCCCGGGAAGCGCCCCAGAAGCTTTGGGAGGCTGCAGGCGGGGCGCCCTTTGCCCTCTGTAGCTTCCTCCGCGGCCCCTTTTTCTGGACATGACCCCTCCCGGTGCCGCAGGGGCCGGCATTTCTGATCAGGCGCGCTGCGGACAGTTCCTCCCAGGGTCCCTTGCGGCGCCGTCCCGGGGGCCTCCAGGGGCTTCGGAGCAAGATGGCGGCGGCGGGGTCCGTGAGGCGCGAGCGGCGGCGACCGCGGCGCCAGTGAGAGGGGCCCCGCCGCGGGACGGACCATGCTACGCTCCACTGGCTTCTTCCGGACCATCGACTGCCCCTATTCGGCTGGGGCGCCCGGGGGTCCCTGTCGGCGACCCTACTGCCACTTTCGGCATCGCGGCGCTCGAGGTCCCGGCGCGCCCGGCGACGGCGGAGCGGCGCCTCCCACCGCAGGTGATGTTCGGCCCGGGTCTTGGTTCTCCTCGCGTCCCCGTGCCCGCCCCCTCCCCAGTCCCGGGAGCGCCCACCCCGGAGCGGGGCCTCCGAGCCGCGGGGTCCGCGAGCGTGCGATGTCGGCAGTGGAGGCTTGTCCGCCTCGGCGGTCGTGGGGTGCGCGGTGAGGGCGCCGAGCTCGGGGACACAAAGGCCGGGGCTCCTCCCGCCGCGGGTAGTGCGGGTCTCCCGGGGCCCGGGCTCCTCCCGCCCCCGCTCGTGCGGGTCTCCCGGGGCCCGCGCCTCCCCGGCGCCTCGCCGCCCTTGTTTATTTCTTAGCGATTCTCCCCGCGGCGCCTGCGGGGTCGGTGTCCGCGGGGGTCGGCCGAGCGCCCCTCCTGCGTGTCCGGCTGGGGACGCGGATCCGAACCCACGGGCGGGGGCGCCTCCCCTCCGCTCGATCGCGTCCTGCCGGTGCGTGATGGTCAGGGTGGTGGGCAGCTGGGCCTGGTTGAGCGGGGTGAGGGCGCCCGTGGCCCTGGGGGGATCTGAGCAGGGAGACCTGGACCGAGAGCACTGAGAGATGACCACAGGTGACACTTGGGCTCCCGCGGCGATCACAGGTGACCCTCGGGTTCCCACGGTGACCCTCACGCTCCCACGGTGATCACAGCTAACACTGGGGCTCCCACGGTGATCACAGGTGACCCTCGGGTTCCCACGGTGATCACAGGTGATCCTCGGGCTCCCACGGTGACCACAGCTAACATTCGGGCTCCCGCGGTGATCACAGGTGACCCTTGGGCACCCACGGTGACCCTTTTGCTCCCACGGTGATCACAGGTGACACTCGGGCTCCCACGGT